TGGGAATTGGAGTCTGGTGTACTTCTAAGGCTTTAGGTTAATATTTCTTGACCGTGGCAACTTGAAGATGTGTGGACTTCAACTCCCAGAATTCCCCAACCAGCTAGATCAAGGGTCTTCAAACTTGGCAAGTTTTAAGACTTGTGGACTTTGACTCCCAGAATTCCTGAGCTAACTAGAGGAGACTAGACTAGACTAGAGGAGGAATTCTGGGAGTTGAAGTCCACACTTCTTCAAGTTGCCACAGCTGAGAAACACTGCTCTCGGTGGATGAAGGCTGGTTTACTAAAAGTTACATTATAAAAGATAAAACAGTATTCTAATATTACTTACTTTTGTTAGCTGAGAATTATAGTGCATATTTCTAATTATATGTGGTTATTATGGATCCAATGAAACTATATTTGCAAGAACTGGTTTTTGGGGGGTAGAAATCTGTTTCTTTTATTTACTTTGCATTCCTAAACATTGCAGATGCTCAATTTATAACATTTGCATGCCGTACATATATAAGGAATACAGTATCTGTGGGCTGAAATATAAGTATAACAATGCAAGATTGAATGTAGTGTTTTTTATTTGCTTTAACCTTGTATCTTAGTGCAGTATAAGGTCTATTTCATGCATTCTTAGAGATTGAACATCTTTGCACAGATGTTTGTTCAAATATTCATAGTTGGAGCAGATAAATCACCATGGAAGTAGATAGAAAGAAGTTTCTTGGAAGAAATAATTGTGCCTGTGAAATAATTGAGTAGTGAAAGTTGGTTATACCCTGATTTCAAGATACTTTTCCAGCTGCTTGGTAACAGGATTCCTTTTTATTTGAGTGAGGTGTCCAAAAAACCATTCAGTTGGTGTTTCAGGAAAAAAAAAACACCTTTGAAAGCCCAATTGAAGATTGTTCCGTCTATTGAGACATGGGGGAGAAGTAAAAATGGGCATTTTAAAAGCCAAGGCATTTTAGTAGAGCTAAACTAAGATTGAATGCAGCATAATCTTCCAACAGCTTGTCGCCTGTCTCTTTCTCCAGAATAATTAGCAAATTATGCTAATTGCATGCAGCTTGACATGTAAATAAGCTGGGATTTTCTTTTTCATGATGTATTTACCAATAGGGTCTTTTTGTTTCTGAACAAATTGGGGGGGGGGGGCTGAATAATGAGAAAGAAATTCTCATCCCAATTGTTATAACAGCTGTTAAGGTAATCCGAAAACTTCTCTTTAACTGACCTCAGTCTGTCTCTGGATTGCTAGGGGCATCAGTGCAGGTGAGAATAAATCTGGAGGATCTTCTTTCTTACAATGTGGCGGCTTACAAAAGCCTTCAGCACAAATATACCCTGGGTAAAATATACCCAGAACTGAGGAAGCTTCTTGAAGGAGAAGCGAAACCTCTTCAAGCAAAAACAAAAGTCCAGTTGCCTTTTGGAAAAGCACAACGGTGGCCTTGGATGATTGAGAATCTACATAGACCTTTCTTTCTTTCTTTCTTTCTTTCTTTCTTTCTTTCTTTCTTTCTTTCTTTCTTTCTTTCTTCCTTCCTTCCTTCCTTCCTTCCTTCCTTCCTTCCTTCCTTCCTTCCTTCCTTTCTTTCTTTCTTTCTTTCTTTCTTTCTTTCTTTCTTCCTTTCTTTTTTCCTTCCTTCCTTCCTTCCTTCCTTCCTTCCCTCCCTCCCTCCCTCCTTCCTTCCTTCCTTCCTTCCTTCCTTCCTTCTTCTATTCATTCATTCATTTATTTTCATGCCTGCTGGTCTCTTTGTCTGCGGTTTGCTGCTTTTGGCATGAAAGCAAGATATATTTTTTTTCCTTTTAAGGGGAAAAATGCTTCCCCAAATAGTTGTAAAGTTGAACCATGTTTTTTCCCTGTCCAGGTTGCAAGAAATGTCCTGTAAACCTTTGAGGGAGAGTGTGGTTTAAAAGCAATCTGTTGCAAACACTTAGTTTGTTTCTACCATGGCTTGTTCAGTTCTCCCATTCTGGGTTTCAGTGGGATAGTTAACGGCAACATTGTGTGGCACTAAAATGGGGTACAAGAAAGTGGGGAGAGCAAAAACAACAACAACAACAACAACAACAACAACCCAAAGGTGGACTAAAAAGGAGAGGTGCTCTTTTCTACCTTAAATCAGAGTTTTTCAAACTAAGATATGTGAACTTCCAACTCCCAGAATTCCCCAGCAAGCATGAAAAGAAATTAACCACGTTTGATAGAATTCTAAATTTCATTGCTCAGTGTCAGAACGGTGTTTCCACCTTGAATTTTTAAAACTCCTCTTCCCTCCTCCTCCTTTTTTTCCTTCGGCATGGTATCTTCCGGACTATTAAGCCATTTTTATTTTGCCTGTGTCAGACGGCTCTGTGAATCTCCGTGACTAAAAATAGGGCAAAAATGCTATAAATAAATAAAACGAGCATAGACTTGCTTGTGAAGCTCATTGTGATTGTCTAGGATAGAAGTTGTATTGATTTTTTTTTTTCCTTTCGCTTCGTTGGCCTGATTTTCAAGCATTATGTGGGACTTCCTTGTCCGTGAAGAACCACCGATTTTCATCTTCTGTCTTTGGCTAAATCATATCTAGATGGAAATTTGATCCATCCTGCTTGGAAAATAAGTAAATAAATAACAGTTGAAAGGAAGTTCAGAAATGTTTAGGCTACTCGGTAGTGTATGGATTAAAAATTTGCAGAAGGGCAACAGGCCTTTGATTACCATTACAGAAAGTTTGTAAGAATTGCTTTGCCCCTTTTAACACAAAACATAGTTAAAAAAGGAAGGGCTTTGGTGAGAAAGGAGAATGAAGCTGAACCCCATTCAGTGCAATTTAATATATATTTTTTTGGTACTTATAAGCAGAAATCTAAGCATGAGTCATGCTTCTAAATCAGGTAGTCCTCAATTTACAACCTTTTGTTCAGTTGTGTGTTCTAAGTTACAACAGCAGTGAAAAAAAAGTGATTTATGTCTGGTCCTCCATTTACACACAACACAGCGTCCCCAAAATCACATGATCAAAATTCGAGGGCTTTAGCAGCTGGCCTGTACAGTGCTTACAATGGTTCAGTACTTAGTGTTCCAAGGTTAGCATTTGTAACCTTCCCAGATGGCTTCTGACCAGCCAAATCAATTGGGGGGAACTAGGTTTACTTAATGACTGCATGATTCACTTAACAACTGCAGCAATTTGCTTAACAACTATGACAAAAAGAAGTCCTAAAATCAAGTGAAATTCGCTTTAACATAACTGCCTTGCTTTGCAGTGGAAGTCCGGGTTCCAATTGTCATCGTAAGTCAAGGACTACCTGTATATTAAGGGATATCTTGGTCTCGTTTTCCAGTTTAGGTAGAATTTCGGTCAGCTCTCCTTTAATGACTTGTGATATAGCCAAGAAGAAAATTAATGACGCCATAGGAGGAGGGGGTCCCCCTTTTAAGAAAAGTATGATCTTTTTCAGTGGGTTAGGCTGTGCGTTGTCAGTTCCGCTTACACACATTACACATCACAAAAGGACATCTGTGGTTGATTAGCAGATCTTTGATAAGATGTTTATCCGCCATTGATTTACTCTTGGCTTGGACTGAAAGGGTGCAGCCAAGAGGGAGAGAGAGAGAGAGGTGGGATTGCAGGGTGGGTGGGAGAATTATGGCATATATAGAAGATATCACAGCACAAAGCAATTTTTGCATCTTCACCTATTTTCACAACTGATTTGACTGGCCACAGTCCATGAATAATATAAATTGTTGGCAATGGGAAGAGCTGCTGCTGCAAAAGATGAATCTCAAAGAAATGGTCTTAGTTCGTCCCTCGGTGTAGAAAAAAAGGGGATTTTTAGCACTGGAGTCTGTTCCCTCCCAAATCCTTATTCACATCTGATCATTATGACTTTGGGAGTAAGGCTGTGAGGCCTCCATCAGCTTAAAGAGACCCATTGGCCAAATATTACTCTTTAAGTGCTCAAAAGTGACAGTACAATCCCTGGATCATCTTCTAAGGCAATTTTTCTCAACCTTGACAATTTGAAAATGTGTGGACTTCAATTCCCAGAATTCCCCAGCCAGCAAAGCTGGGAATTGAAGTCCACACATCGCCAAAGTTGAGAAGATGTGAGAAGCCATTGATCTTTCATGGAGTCAGTGAAAATCTGGCCAAGTTAAAACAGAAATACTAGGATTATTATTATTATTTTTATAAAATTTTATAAAAATGTGTTTTTAAAACGTTTTCTGGGATAATTGCTAAAGTACAGTTTGGAAATGGATATGCTCTCAAGATTTCTCACTTGAATTCCCTTTTGATTCGAACGGTTTTGAGAAGTATAAAAGTTCATTATAACAGAAAGGGGCGAGATGGTTTGTTATTCATGAAAGTCCATTAAATCAGAATTGATTGTAAGCCAACATCATTTACATAATGACATCATTACACAAATGGCGTTAAGCCCTCTTTCACTGCAGCACTGCTACAAGTCACTTCACTAATTATTCTGTATTCTCTGTTATTCTATCATTAAGGAAATGATGTTTATAGGTGCCAAAAAAAACCCACCACAAGTCCTTGACTTTTATGACCATAACAATCATGCCCATTATGGACATACATATCATGATGGTCATAAAGCGGATCACTCATGCGACTGACCCGATATTATGACTTTTTGCAGTGGTTGTTAAGCAAACACAACATTTATTACGCAAACACGGCAGCTGTTGTGAACTATTGCTTCCTACTGAGTGTTTGTGTCGCAAACTGGAAATAAATGCTGGTTTTCTTTCAGCAAAAAATGTCCTAAATTGTGGGATCATTCGATTGTGGGGAGCGGGGGGCTTGGAACTTCAGAATCGGGTGATAAGTATTTTCTGGATGCATCTACCATAACTCTGGTCACTAAGCAACTGTCTTAAGTCGAGGACTTTCCTGTATTCAGGCCTGTTCGATTGTTTCAGTCCTTTTGTGAGATTAACCTGATATATTCTCTCTTTTTTTAATCTTCTCCTAGATTCTCAAGTTCTACAGGAACCCAGGGATCTATCATACTGGTGCGTGGTGGCCTATTGGGAAGAGAAGACACGGGTGGGGCGCCTGTATTCGGTCCAAGAACCTTCCCTGGATATCTTTTACGATCTACCTCAGGGGAACGGCTTCTGTCTCGGACAGCTCAATTCGGACAATAAGAACCATCTGGTGCAGAAGGTCCGTGCCAAGATCGGTTATGGCATCCAGTTGAGCAAGGAAGTGGACGGCGTATGGCTTTACAACCGCAGCAGTTACCCGATTTTTATCAAGTCGGCCACACTGGACAACCCGGATTCCAGGACGTTGTTGGTTCACAAAGTGTTTCCGGGCTTTTCCATCAAAGCGTTTGATTACGAGAAAGCCTACAGCTTGCAGAGGCCCAACGACCACGAATTCATGCAGCAACCTTGGACGGGTTTCACGGTGCAGATCAGCTTCGTGAAAGGTTGGGGCCAGTGCTACACCAGACAGTTCATCAGCAGTTGTCCGTGCTGGCTGGAGATTATTTTTAATAACCGATGACTCGAGACGACTCGACTCGACTCAACCGCAGGCCTTCCTGAGCGCAGCATCTTGAAAGGAGGGGTGGACTTCAACTCCCACAGTTTCCCAGCCAGCAGAGGGAATTCTGGGAATTGAAGTTCACCCTTCTTCCAGGGTGTCCAAGTTTGGGAACCGCTGCTCAACCAGTGACATTTTATAATGACTTTGCTGCTAAAACGTTTCCTTTTGAGTGCTTGCTATGGTGTGCAAACGTTTTTTGTTTGTTCGTTCTGTTTTGAGAAATAGCTTATGGGAAGATTTCTCCGTCTTTCTTTCTTTCTTTCTTTCTTTCTTTCTTTCTTTCTTTCTTTCT